AAAAGGCGAAGTCTAGACACCTGGCCCCGCCCTGCCTCCAGCGCACCCCCCCCCGCCCGCCTCTGCCTCTGCCTCTGCCTCTGCCTCTGCCTCTGCCTCTGCCTCTGCCTCTGCCTCTGCCTCTGCCTCTGCCTCTGCCTCTGCCTCTGCCTCTGCCTCTGCCTCTGCCTCTGCCTCTGCCTCTGCCTCTGCCTCTGCCTCTGCCGGAGCCAGCCCACCGGCCGGCCGCTGCAGGAGTGAGCTCAGCTGCCCCGCAGAGCACTCAGCTTCTTCAAAACAAGGGCAAAGTCCTGTGTCCCTCCACACCCTGCGGGGGTCGGGGACAGACGCCCTCATGCGCTGTTCTTCGGGAATACCCCCGGGCAAAGTAAGAAAAGTCACTGCAAAAGCTGGAAGTGCTTTGGAAAAGCCTGCAGGCCAGGCCGCTGCTTCCTGACTGCAGGGACAAGCAGTGAACCAGCTGGCCCCAGGGCCCCCCAACCCGACCCCGCAACCCTTTCGGAATGAAGCAGGTGAGGAATCCGGATTACAGGGGAAGAGTGTGGCAAGAGTGTGTGTCTGGGGTCGAGGGCCGACACCCTGCAGAAGCGGGGGGCACGGAGGGAATGCCGGGATGGGCTGGTCTGGGGGACTCCCAGCACACAGCAGGTGCACAGAAGCTGAGTCACCTCCACCTCGTGTGCCCCGGGAGGTGGCTGCTAACACCTGGCCAGCACCCGTCACGGGGTCGCGTGACTTCTCACCTGCTTACATCAGGAGACTCGGCATTTTGTCCAAAATTGGCAAAACCTTTTTCCAGGGTGCACACGCTGCCAAGAAACACTTACGTTCTTGGAACTTCTGCCAAAACTCGAAACCACAGCTGGGGCTCCGCGAGCGCCCGCCCCCTCAGGCCGCCAGGAGAAAACCGAGACTTCCCAGAGAGGGACACACACGTGGCCAGCGGCCTCGGACACGCGCGGCCCTGCGCCCGAGGCGCGCCGCCAAGGTCTTCGCAGGGTCCAAAGATCTTTGTAAAAACCGCAGGGATGGGGAGCGCGGGGCAGCCAACCGCCCCCCTCAGGGCTGCAGCGAGCCCAGCACACCTGCCCTCGACCTGGGAGACCCCCGGGAGGTCCCGGAGAAACTGCCGCCTCGACGGAGTCGCAAAAATCAGAGACAACAGAGAGTCTACAGGACAGAGATGAGCAAACTCCGGACCACCCGCGCCGTGATGGGCGGGTCTAAGGCTGTTCCAAAACATGAGAGGCAGCCCCACAAGCTCCGACACAGAGGAATGCACGGAGTGATTTCTAATACGAACCCCAAGACGGCGGGACCGAAGGACGCGCCCCCGACCAGGCCCGGGGGAGGGGAGGGGACCCTCGTGGCCCAGCATCAGTGTTTCCATGTGTGGCTTCGGGTTTTGTGTTTCACACGCACATGTTTTACTTGGACGTTAACTTTTGGCGACCTCAGAGAACCGGGTAAGGGACGGGAAACCAGCCCAGGGTCAGGGTCTGCCTGTCCCTGAAAGTGCCAGACAGGAGGGGGGTCATCTGCTGTGGAGGGAAGGTCAGGGGTGACAGTTCAGTAGCTCCACGGTTGGGATTTTGCAAATGCTCGGCTGGTGAGCCCGCAAGATGCGTGTCCCCAAGGCCCGCGGAGGAGCTGGAAAGGGTCTGGCAGTGGGGCGGGGGGCGTCTGAACCAGAGGGTGGCCGATGTGCTGGGCCGAAGAGCCCAGGCTTGGACCCAGTGGGGCTTTGCGTCCCGGCGTCAAGTACCTGCACGGGTGTGCTGTCGAGTTTGTGTCAGGGTCAAAACGAATTCCCTGCTGCAAGGGGTTAAGTCTCAGGACTGTGAAGCTCTCCCACTGCGGCCCGAGTTCCATCCCCGGCCAGGGAGCTACCCACATGGCGCAGCAGACTTCTCCTGTCTCCCCGCTGCTCCCCTCAGCAGTGGATTTCAGTCAGTCTGCCTGCTCTGCTCCCCACTCTGACTCTGGTGAGTCCTCTCACCCCCTGCACCTCTGGCCTGTACCCCAGGTCGTGTATGCATAAGTAAATAAATCTTAAAAAAAAAAAGAATTCCCGGCTTTTGTGACTCCCACCTCTGCCAGACCCCTGCCCGCTCCACACTAACCATTCCAGGAGGGTGCTGCCCCAGGGTGCTGCCCACAGCTCAGGAGGCAGGAAGGCAGGCCAGCGGCCCACCCACCAGCCCTGACCTGGGGCAAGTGACCTGCCTGTAGATCCCGTTTCCCATCTGTGAACTGGAGTAATATTCACTTGCCCACCGCAGCGGACGGGTGTGCGGGGGCAGATGTGATTTTCCCAGTGCACCCCCAAATGAAAGCCAAATGTGCGGTCACAGCCTCTCCCAGACAAAGACTGGACTCTCCTGTCTGCTGGTGCTTTGCATAGATCAACAACCAAAACCGCACCCTCGCCAAGGACGGGCAAAGAACACCACCGGCTACGATCAGTCCAGGGCTCTGGGAAGGGTGTTTCCGTTCCGGTGGGGTGAGCCCGGAGGCAACACCAGCTTGGGCAGCATTCTGTGATTACAGAGTTGACTGGCAGGTTCTTTTGCCAAAGCAAAACATGGACGGGGGCTGGTCTGTTGAGGAGCTGGAGACCTGTAGGGCGGTGACGCCCTGTTTGCCCAGGCACCTCACTGTTTGCATCTGTCTTTCGTAAACCAAAGTTGTGCTACTGGCAGCCGTGAATGCAGATACACCCACAGAGGGTGCACCTGCAGCTGAGGGCAGGGGGAAGGGACCAGGTGTGGTGCTGATGGGGCCCCTGACCGTTTCAGGAGAACTGATGGAGCAACCTGCCTGCCAGGCTGCGGCCACCTGCTGGGGGACGCAAACCCAAGAAGACAGCCCTGCCCCTCGGCCTCCCTCAGGGCGCTGGACACCCCCCCCCCCACACTCACAAATCTAAATCATGTGGTCACCACTGAGTTCAAGCCACATGCTGACTGCACTGCGCGCATTGCTCCACGGGGCTCCCTATCTGCACACACTTAGTGCCCCCAGCACCCTCACACAGGACTCCCGCCACCCCGTTCTCTACGTGAGGACACTGATGCCGGGAGAGCCCAAGTAACTGAGCAAAGCTGCAGGGCGAGGGGCCAGGGAGGGGATCCTGGCACTCTTGTCTGAGCCCACACCCCGCAACCCTGCACCTGCCATCTGTTAATGCTGTGGGGTGCCCAAACAGGACCCTGTGGCCCCCCAAAAGGTCGGACTATGGGATGGAAGCTCCATTCCAAACCGCAGCCAAGCCGCCCCCCACCCCCAAACATAGTTCAACACTCTCTGTATGAATGCCCAGAGGCCCGGAGCCCGGGCCTGTGGACAGACACTCGGTGGAGCAGGACAAGATCTGTCCATCTGCTCAGCGCCACGGCCTTTATCTGGATGTCAGTTTAAGGCCTCGAAGCCGCCGGGAGGCCAGGCAGCACTGTTGTGGAACACGCCAAGAGAAACAGGCCTAGAAAACACGGCTTCACACAGGAGGCACCCCAACTCTAGAGCCGTGACAGTTACCTCAGTATGGAATCGGAAGGAGACAGCGTGGTTCTCCCACTCAGCAGAGCCAGAGAGAAACAGGATTTTCTCAATATTTTCGCCTGGGACCCACATTAAGAAAAACATTTTACGTGCAACTCAGGACTCACATGTAAAACCCCCTGCTCCGCCGAGGTGGAAAGAAAGGCCTCTGTGAGGGGCACCCCAGGAGAGAGGGGTGTCGCCCAGGCTCCCTGCACCCTGGGGGCTGTGCCCCGGAGCTCACATACACTCACACCACAAAATACACACACGTCACTCAAATACACACACACCGCAAACACATAATACACAGACGCCACACACGCATGCCCACACACACACACATGCACACACACCACACAAACATATACTACACACACTACACATGCGTACCACAAAACCACACAAATACCACACACACCACCCACATACCACACACATCACACAAATACCACTCAGAGCATGCACACACGCATAAACATATTCCACACGCACACACACACACCAGAGCTAAGGCCAGTCTCACGGAACAACAGCCAACGGACAGTGAGCCCACCGCGCGTCACGGTTTTATGGGGAGGGCCACATGCGAGCTGACCGAGACTGGCCTCTCCCTGGGCCCAGAGCTCTCTGCGGCAGAGTCCTCCGGGAAAGTACTCCAGCCCTGGGCCTGCTGCTCACTTCTAACTTGTCGAGCACAACCCTGGCCGGCGTGTGGCAGAGGGAGAGGGAGGAGGGCCCGGCAGGCAGGGAGGGCACAAACCCAAGGCTCGTGCTCTGAACTAACAGCCCCGGCCCACAGCCCGTCAGGTCCCTGACACCCCCTTCCCGAGGAGCCCCGGCCCCGTGTGCCGCCAGCCACAAAAGCAGGCGGGGGGCCTGGCTCCCCAGAGTGTCCGCTCCCGGTGAAGACAGTGGAGGGTTCAGACATGGTCGTCAAATGGACACGTGGAGGCTTCAAGTTAAGAACGCGCTGGCTTGGTGGGCTTGCTCACGTTTGCTTTTCTTCACAAAGCCAATTCCAACTTGAAATGAGTGGGCTGCCCCTGTAATCAACTGGGCCGGGACCCCATCAAATGCAGGACGTGCCATGTGGCCCTTCCAGGAAACTCCCCTCACACCCGAGAATGTCTTGTGGCCGGCTCAGGCCCTGACGACACCCCGTTCTCACGACCGCTTCCCCAGGGAAGAGGAAGTGCACACGGGTCAAACCTCAAGCCTTGGTGTCCCAACCCGTCACTGCCTTCTGGGTGTTTCTCCAAAACCACACCCCTGCCACCCCCGCCCCTCCAACAGGCCCGCCCTGGACAGGTGCCCGCAGCCCTCGGCAGCCCCACCAGCTCACCTGCCCACAGCAATCCACCCCCGGGGGGGACCTTCCAGACCTTGAACCCACAAAAGAGAGGATCCAGGAGAGGCCAACCCAAAGTGGGAGGGGGCAGACAGGGGGTCCTACCTACCGTGATGATCTGCCGCCTGGCGACCAGCCACCAGGGGGGACTGTCCGAACCCCAGAGCACTCCTCGCTGGCGCTCGGACCCTGGCTGGACTACCACCTTCACGGACTCTCGTCTGTCTTAATCGCTACAAGCATCTGGTGAATGAGTGATTATCTCCTCATGTCGCAGATGAAGACACCAAGGCGCTGGGAACTGAAGTCTCCGGCTCCGGTTACACAGCAGGCAGCGTAACAGCAAAGTCAAGTTCTTGTCCTCGAACCCCTCGGGCCCTTCTTTTGAAATATCTTCCCATCTCCTGCTCGCCCCGCCCTGCCCTCTGGCCCAGGGCCCGGAGGGCTGTCCCCGGGCCAAGCACAGGCCACTGACTTCCTCCTGGTCTAGCTGGGCGGCCCCCACACCCCAGCCGGGAGCCCGAGCCGGGAGAGCCCTCGGTCCGCAGCCCCAAGCTCTCAGGGACACAAGACTCGGCAAGTTTGGCCCCAGCGGCGCAATCTCTTATAAAGGGGTGAGATTTTTGATAAGGGAGACCTGGGGTGAGGAGGGCAGGAGCTCAGACTCCCCGCCACTGGGACCCGCCGGCCCACATGCGAAGAGCAGTAAAAGCTGGAAACACCCCTCCAGGCCTGGGGAGGAGGCAAATAGGAAACTAATCAAAACACGGGCCAGAAAACAATCTTCCAGCATTTCTAGGAGACAGAGTGTGTGTGTGAGTGTGTGTGTGTGTGAGTGTGTGTGAGTGCGCGTGCAAGCGCGTGCACACACGTGTCTGTTTCTCAATTACTCTGCACGCCCCATCGCTCACTGTAACTCCCGGACCCAACGTGGAAGGACCAAGCATCACATTCACGGCCCAGCGCCAGCCCCGCGCAGAACCAGGGGCCCCGGGCGGGAGGGGGGCCCTTGGCTGCACCCCCTGGAGCCCCGTGTGTCCTCAGTGGGGGGCAGGAAGGACAGACACCGCTTTGGGTGATATTATCTTCAAAAAAAAAAAGGTCACAAGCTCATCTTTCCGAAGTCTACACCCCTGGGGCGCCTGGCCGGTCCGAGGACCCCGGGGTCACGGCCCGCGGGCGCCGGCCCCCCCCCCCCGCGCCGCAGGCCCTCGCGGGAGCCCCAAGCGCCGCTGCTCCCGCAGCTCCCGGCGCCCCGCGGCGCGCGACTTGCAGGGGCCCCGCCGCGCCTCGCCGGCCCGCGCCCCGCTGCAGAGGCCGCACCCCGGACCCGCGGGGTTCGCCCCCGGCCGCCTCCCGGCCGCGGGGTGACCTTGGGCGGGAGGTCAGCGCCCCGCGCCCCGCTTCCTGCAGCGCCGGCGGGACCCGCCCCCCGCGGGCGCCCCCACCCCGGGCCCCCAAGGTCAGCGCGGGCCTCGGGCGGGCGGCCCAGGGCAGCTCGCGGCCCGGCCGGGCTGCGGGGACCCGCCGCGGGGACGCCAGGCGCGCCGCGCCCCGCCCCGGGCCGCGCCGGCCCCTCCGCCCGGCCGCGGCCCTCGCGCCCCGGCGGCTACTCACCCAGGGGCGCGCGGCCGCCTTTGTGCGCGGACGGCGGGGCCCGGTGACAGGCGGCCGCGCGGCCGGGGCGGGGGGAGCGGGGGGCGGGGCGGGCGGCGGGGGCGGGGCGAGCGGGCCGGGAGGGGCGGGGCGGGGCGAGCGGCGGGGGCGGGGCGAGCAGCCCGAGCGGGCGGGACGAGCGGGCGGGGCGGGGCGGGGAGGGCAGTGGGCGTGGCGAGCGACGGGGGCGTGGCCCGAGGCGGGCGAGTGGGCGGGGCCAGAGTGGGGCGGGGCTTCCATGGCCCGGGCAGTGGGGGGGCCCGCAGCTCCCCAGCCCCCCCCCCGCCCCCGAAGAAAGGGCGCGTCCGCCAGCCGCTCCTTCAAGCCCTCAGCTTTCCCGCGGTCTGGGCCCTTAGGCCACGTTTCTGACTTTCCTCCCCAGAGCCGGTCACCTGTGTACTTCAGCAGGTTGGGCTGACCTTGAGGATGCCCAGGAGGGTCTTGTCTGGGCACCCTCAGCGGCCGGGCCAGCGTGGCCAGCCCCTGAATCTTTCCGATCCTGTTTATTCAGCCACAGAAGGGCAGCTTGCAGCCGTGTTCGCCGCCCCACTGCCGTGCTCCGCCCCCCCACCGCTGCTCCACCTGCTCGTCTTCCTCCCAAAGAGCAAGCCCCCCAGCCTCAGGCATCCAAGCAGCAAACACCTGCAGGCTCGGGTCCAGACACAGCTCTCGGGAGTGACAGCACCTGCCCAGGCGGACCTTACACTCTCCAGCAGGGACCAAAAAAAGAAATAATCTCAGGTATAGAAATGACTTTGATCAGATGATCAGGTGGTTACATTTGAACTGGAATCCTAAATGACAGAAACTGGCGTCCCACAAAGAGGACAATTAGAGAGGTACCCCCCCCTCTCCCTGGTCAACTAGGGGCTCAGCTGGACTGGCCTTGTGAAGAAGCTGCAGCAGCAACAGCAAGTTGCCCCCAAGCACACCAGTAACCTCAAAAAAGACAGGCTTCAGGGCTTGGCACTGCTACCGTCAGAGTTCCCGGGAGACACGGCCCTAAATAGACACACCAGCTTTAACAACCCTTCTTGTTCTTCTCAATACACAGCGTCAAATGTTACATTTTCCTGACATGTCCCCAGACTTTCTCTGTAAAATCCTTGAAAATGTAAATTACTTCCCTTGCAGGCCATGTAAAATTCTCATAGTGGGGCTCAGAATGCAGACAGCGTTCCCGGAGCTCCCCGGAGACAGCACCCAGCTTAAGGTCTGTCTTGGTTCTACTTGTGCACTGACCATTTTATCTAAGACAACAGGGGGAGGCAGCAGAGCAGAAGCAGCAGGTGCCAAGGTCCTGAGGCACCCTCTGTGGATGGCTGGAGCCACTGAGTTGCCGCAAGCATCACAGGGAGCAAACTTTTCAGGTTTTGTGGGCCAAAGCGAGGAATTCAGATATCCTAGGGAAGGTTTTAAGTTAGGAAATACTTGTTTAAAATACCACTTCTCTACTAGATAGAAAATGAACTTCAGGGAAATAGGGGAGACTAAGTGCGCTCTGATGGGAGGATGGGGTTCAGACTGTTGGGGATGGGGATAAAAGGCAGGACTTTGGATACACTGCGGAGGTAATGATCCATGGCCTCGCTTTGTGGGGAGAGGCACGTGAGGCCAGAAAGGAGAAGCAAAGAGATCTGCCTTTGGAATCCTAACACAGAGGGAGGCGGGGCGCTTTGCTGATCTGCAGGAGGGAAGAAATGGGGGCTTGGGAGGAAAATCAGGGGGCAGTTTTGGCCACACTGAGTTTGATCTGGTTTTTAGCCACCCCAGAGGAGACGAGATGTCCGAGGCATCTGGTGCTCAAAACATCCAGTGGCCCCAGATGTAAGTTTGGGGTCACCTGCATGGAGGGACACCAAGTGATGCTAGGAGCTGTCTTCTATCGACACCCTCTAGCTGGTCTTAGGGAATCATCCATCTCAGCAGCCTCTGCCTCCAGGGAAGCGGTGACCCCTCCTTGCTGGCATTTCAGAAGTGGGGTGCCACAGAGGGGCCATTATTTACATGAGACCCCTCCTCCCACTTGGGCCCAGAAGGAAGTGACCTGTTCCTACCCCGCTCCAGGGAGGGCCTACCTCGGGACCAAGAAGCAAGTCCTGGAAAGTCTTTCTGGAAGCCAAGTCTGACTTTAGCCCACGTTAGCAAAGCCTCTGTATAAAATAAATCTTCAATTATTAAAGTTTGACGACTAGAAGTCTAAAGACCAAGAAGATCCAGTGCAAAGCCCTCATTCTCGGGGGCTGGAGGGCAGCACGGGGCTGGTGGTCTGACGACCCCGAGCAGGTAAGGCCTGGGCTGTCTAGCTCAGTTGCCCCCTCAGGGAGGCACTCTTCCTGTCCTCATGGCTGCCACCCATCTAAACATGGAGGGAGAGAGCCCTGAGCCATGAGGAGGGAACGCTCTGTCTCACACATTTCTCGGTCCACTGAATAGGATTTCCCAAACCCTGGCGTTTCGGACCCGCCCTGTCTGGACACACACACCCCCCACCCACCCACCCCCACCCCTGTCGGGCCCTGTTGTCCTGCTGGCTAGCAGGCAGGGGACTGGGTGATGACTCAGCTCCAGCTCAGGGGCAACCCTCAAGGCCTGGGTTGCCACGAAAAGAGGGGCTCTCCCTGGGCCCAAGGCCTATCCTGGGCTGGGGTCTCTGATGGAGTGACTTGGGCACAGGCACCCTCTTGCTCAGGGTCTCAAGAAGCAGGTGGGACTGTCCGGTGTCACCTCACCCTGGAGCGCAGAGGAGAGAGGAGCCTGGAACCTCCCAGAGGAACAGGTCCCGGGGCCTACAGGCTACTGGGGGCAGGTAGGAGAGACGCAGGGTCCCCCGGGAGAGGAGAACAGGAGGACAAGGGTTATCTGTGGGCACGAATGTCTGGGATGCAGGCCGAGGGCCCACCCCTCCATAGGGTGAGGATCCTAGATTAAGGCCCAGGCATCCGAGTCACAGGGAGATAAAGGGGAGAGGCTAGTGGGGCCACAGCTGGGGATCATGGAGGCGACACCACCCCAGTCCACCCTGACAGCTGGGTCCGTTAGGGAGTTCGTGATCCCAGCCTCGGCGGCGTGCTGGGAGGAGCTGAATACCCGGACCCAACACACAGCAGCCACCACCCAAGAGAACTTAGCCGGGATCCAAGTGCTCATAGTGCCCGTAGGACAGAGACACCCCCAATCAATCCTCAGACACCCTGACCGTGCTGCGCAGAGTGGGGGCACCACAGCCTCAAGTCTCAGATGCCCCAGTGCTAAAATGTACCGACGTGAGTGGGTCTTCGAAAGGGTTGAGAGGCAGAAAAATTTTCCCAAAGATGGATGGGATTCACAGTTTTTTCTCTTCAAGGCCGGCCGGTGTGGCTGGGCTTCTTGTCAGCTGAGCTCAGCCCCGAAGAGAGACCAGCAGACTCACGCTTGCCGGGGTGAGTCCTCAGTGAGCCCCTGAACACTGCCCCAGCCACCAAGGAGAAGCCTCAGAGTCTCTGTCTACAGCCTCTGGGGAAGTTGCATCTCCTGTAAGTGGACGAGCTCATTCTGGTACGTTCTTTCATCCACAATAGATGGCCAGGTAAACCAAGTCTGGGTTCGTGGTTGCCCTAAGCTGTGTCAGCCAGAGGAGGCGCCGCCTGAGGCTCTTCCTCTGTGGCTAAAGGGACGTCATCACGCCTCCGCCGCAGTAGGCTGGAGGGAAACTGAATGAGAGCACGGACCACGGAGAAATCAGGCTCCAGGGTCCCCTTGGTGGGTTTTGGGGTCCCTCCGTTTCAGTCACTGACTCCATTGCTCAGTGAGTCTACACCCGAGAAGTCAGCCAGGTCACAGGGAAAGTAGTGAGACCTCATTACGCTCCACCCTCCTTGCTGCCGCTTACCTTAGCTGCCGGAAGAAAGTCTTGTTGCCTCCACCCTGGAGGACATATTGGCAGGACCCCATTCAATTTCCATAACTTCGTATGGAGCTCCCTTTCATGGCAACTTTGAGCTCCTGCTTAATTTCCTCTTTCTTCCAGTGTTGTAGTTCTCAGCAGCCCCGGACACCATTTATTGGCTGTTATTGGGACAGGCATGGTTGACGCCACCCTGATCCTGCCCTTCTCCTCCTGATCTTGCCCCTCAGCTCATCTCCTCCCCTCCCACTTGCTCTCCCCCATCATCCTGTCATCCGTGCCCGCTGCAGGGAAGGGTCATTGTTGGGTGGCAGGGTTGTGATGACCCCACTGAGGTTATGATGTCAGCCTTAGGCACCCAGCGAATGATAACTAAGTAAGACATGGAGTTTGTTCTGAGGCATTACTGGATTCAGAACAGAATCTGGCACACACAGGGGCCAGCAGAA